AATAATAATAATAATAATAATAATAATAATAATAATAATAATAATAATAATAATAATAGTAATAGTAATACAGTGGAACTCTGTTTCAACGAAATCTCGGATTCAACGAAAAGGGTTGGATTCCCCCATGTTTTATTCGTAAAAATCAATTTTTAAAAATAATTCGGATTCAACTAATACATAAATGAGCAAACTCGGATTCAACGAAGTCTCTTGCAGGGTGAACTTCTGTATGCGACTAATCTGTCCCCGTAGAATTATGCAAATTTAGAAGGCCAAATTATGCAAAAAAGCAAAATTATGCAAAAATTATGTAAGTTACCGTAACACCATTCGCGACATGTTTTGCACTTTTTCAAAGCGGAGTTTCATGATTTTCATGTTTTATGTACAGAAAAATTGAAAACAGAACATATCAGTATCAGTAATTTGTTGTGTATTTGGAAAAGAAAACATTACACAACAGTTAAAAAAATAAAAAACCAACCAAAAATAATAATCTCTGTAACTTTCAGCTGTAGATCTAGATCTAGATGAGGATAGAAAAATGTTTTTTTTTAAAAAGGACAAAAGGACATCCGGACATGCTGGCACATTACTAAAACCAGGGACACCTGTCAAACATGAACATCAGCAGACCTGAGAACAACAACTTTTGATGGACTGAAAAATTGAACATGCTCAAGGAACAAAATCACAACCCATAACCAAGATCTTCAAACAAGGGAAATAACCAACTTTTCACATGGCGAGTCGTTAATTGTTTTGTGAAAAAAAAGGGGAAAAAAACGTGAAAAAACGTGGATTATCCAAAATTATGCAAATGTTGCAGGATTACGAGAAAAAACACAGCCGCGCCGCAGCCGCACGATTGCATAATCGTACGGGGACAGACGAATCAGCGGCCTCCTTTCATACCAACACTGGCGTTGTAAGCAGGCGCCACAGAATTCTACACTTGTGTAGAATTCTGTGACAGGCGCCCATGTCTTTAACCAGTTATTCACTATCTTTGCTTTAACTTAGCGTGTGTTGGGGTCGGACGGGCGGCCAGCACATGTGTGATGTGTGACTGTGTGCGTGTGTCTGGGGGGATGGAGGAGGGGGGTACTAACCAACGGGATTGGTAGAGTTCAGTGTATTTTCCTGGAATTTTCCAGCAATTCTTCGGTATCAAAGAAACGAAAATACCTCTCATTTGAAACATAACTACTTTTGATTGAGAAAGTCGAATACATGATGCATGACTTGCTCGGTGCCTGTAATTATCTAAAAAAAAACCCCATCATATTAACTTCAACGAACACTCGGATTCAATAAAATTGAAGGTCAGGCCCGACGACTTCGTTGAATCCTAGTTCCATTGTAATAACAATAATAACAATAATAATAATAATAATAATAATAATAATGATAATAATAATAATAACAATAACAATAACAACAACAACAACAACAACAACAACAACAACAACAACAACAACAACAACAACAACAACAACAACAACACTAAAATAACAGTAACAAAAAATCCTCCTGTTTCTTTTTCCTTCTTTCCCTTCTTTCTGTGAGTATCAGTATCCCCTCCACCACCAGTCTACTACTACTACAACTTCTACTAGTACTAATGAGCGTGCTGGGCGTGAGTACCGCGGCCAACATGTACCAGTCCGTCAACGACGCCCTCAGTGGCACCACCTGGGGCTCGCTCTGCCTGGACACCAGCTACTTCAAGCCCACGTGTGGCTGGAGACTCCTGATGACCAGCTCCCACCAGTTGACTGGCGTGGAGGTAAGTACTGAGTCCAGACGTTTTCTTTTTAAAAAATAGAATGTCAGGTTTCTACGGGGTCTTTTGTTGTCGTTGTTGTTGTTGTTGTTTATTGTTGTTGGTGTTGTTTATTGTTGTTGTTGTTGTTGTTGTCGTTGTTGTTGTTGTTGTTGTTGTTGCTGCTGTTGTTGTTGTTGTTGCTGGTGCTTTTGTTGTTGTCACATTGTTGTTTTTGTTTTGTTTTGTTTTTGTTTTTCAAGCTTTACGGTGATCGCAACTGCGTCATGTCATAATGAGCGCACGGATCACATTGCTATCCGTACGCCCTAGAGTCATTGTACCTCCGGGATTGTATTCTTCACATTTTAGAATACTTCTAGTACGAAGATCTCTTTGAAACTTTCTCAGTATTTCTTTAGAAAATCATTTAGCTATGCAAAGCGTACGGATCGGATGAATGAGTAAATTTCCTCTTTGGAAAGTGTGGGCAGAGTTCCCCACGTCGTATGGATACGATAGTAAAACACGACGTACGGATAGGGTTAATTTAGAATGGCAGGTTTCTACGGGGTCTTTTGATGTTTTTGTTGTTGTTGTTGTTTTTGTTTGTTGTTGTTGTTGTTTTTGTTTTTTTGTTGCTGTTGTTACATTGTTGTGGTTGTTTTCTGTTGTTTGTTTGTTTGTTTGTTTAAAAAAAAAGTTTTACTGTGATCGCAACCGCGTATTATTGTTATTATGAGCGCATATATTTTCATATTGGTAGTAATTAATTTTGAATTCTTACCTGGTGGCGGCCGAAACCTACGCTTATTGATTTTAAGACCACCAAGGGATCTTCAACGTGCGCAACTTGCACATGGGACCTCCGAGATTGTTTAGCCTATATCCAAGAAGACAGCAGTAAGAAGAACTCAATGAGAAGCTGTAGAAAGGCAGCTGCAGAAAGAGCCAGGAGCCCAGAAGAGGGGTAAAAAGTGTGTTTGTGTGTTTGGAGGGGGGTGTCTTTCACAGAAATAAGATTCCCTTTTCAGTAGAATAAAAATAAAGTTTTTTGTTGTTTATTTTACAGACATGGAATTTGGTAAACACCCAGAGAAATATTGTCTATTCAACATAACAAAGGTTGATTTCAGTGCAATTTTTCATCCGATGTAGCCAACGCGCTACCTGAGAATTACAAAGTTCCATCTGACATGTTTGACTGTTTTGAGTTACTACTAAGACCATGAGGTCAGAAACTTAATTACTGTTCTATCTGCTCTATCAAAATCGTAAAATCATTCGGAGTCGTTACCAAGATATTCAAGGAACTGCATTAGCGAAAAAGCTTGATAAGATGTGAAACTCAAAATCTTTAACGTCAAATATATCTCAAAACTAGGAACAGAGCAGATAAAATTTGTTATTCTGAGGTAGCGACGTCTAAAGCAGAGGTGGCGGGGGGTCTTCATAATCAAATAATCTCTGTTTCCCTTCTGTAATTTGGGAACACTGTCGCAGTCAATCAAATACACCCCTAGACGTAGGCCTTATAAATTCAAACGATTTAAATTTGAGTCGTGTACAAAACACTCAAAACTGTTTCCTTGTTATTCCTATCATCAGTATTAGTATAACATGTATTACCATCACCATCACCATATCATTAGTATTATCAATATCATTGTTCCAATCGTTGGCATGTCGCATTTCCCCCCCCCCTAGTTGTTTGAGAGCACGGCAGAGCAGTACGACAGTTACCGATACTTCATCACCAGCACAGAGGCCAACGCCGACTTAGTGAGCGACCCTCCCGAACACTGCTTCTTCACAACTGTCCTCGGCCATTTCGGGTAATCATTAATTTACGTCATAAGCTC